GAGTTCGTTCCAAAGGGCCAGAGCAGCCACAGAGAAGGCCCTCCTCCGGGTAGTAGCCAGGTGACATTGGCCAGTAGATGGAATCCGGAGAAGGCCTAATCTGTGGGATCTAATGGGCCTTTGTAGCCTGAACAGGTAGTCCTCAACTTATAACAGTTCGCTTAGGGACCACTCAAAATTATGCCGGCCCTGAAAAAAAAGTGACTTACGGCCATTTTTCACAGTTATGACCTTCGCAGCATCCCCATGGTCACGTGATCCAAATTCAGAGGCTTGGTAAGTGGTTCATATTTATGACCGTTGCCGTGTCCCAACCACATGGGATCCCCTTCGGAGACCTTCTGAGGTCGCAAGTCAAGGGGGAAAGCCAGATTCACTTAACAACCGCCTGACTAACTTACCAGCTGCAACGATTCGCTTAACAGCGCAGGCAAGAAAGGTCGTAAAAATGAGGCAAAACCCACCTGACAACAGAAATTCAGGGTTCATTTACGGTTGTGTGTCCAGCAATTGCTTGTGTTTTGCAGATGTGCCAAAAATAAGCTTCTCTGTGCAGGAATGGAATGTTTAATTCTCTGCTATTTGGGGGAGACTCAATTCTTCTCTATTGTTCCCCCCCCAACCCTCTCTAGGTTATCTGCAAATACCTGACAAAACCTAAATTGCCGGACAAGTTGTTGCTGCAGAATGTTTTCCAGGCTGTAAACATCTACTACAATTACACGGGGCACGCATCCTGTTTGAACTTAACTCAGACTGCTACGAAAAGCCTGGGCCTCCAAGGCTGGTCTTACCAGGTGGGTGTGCACCCCGTAATCAACGTGGCAATTTTGGGAAGGGGTGGGTGAATAGCCGCCACGATGTAAGGCACCCCTTTTCCCAATGTGAAAGCCATAGTCATTTTTTGATTTGTAACTTTTTGTTCGAATCTTTTTTGGCACTTTTAAAACTTTTTATTCACTTACTAGCCGGCGTTGCCTGGGTATTTACCTGTTTATAGGGGGAAGATGTCCGGACCAAATGTAATTTCTAATGTTGGATTTTCTCCCTTACCAGAGGGAGCCCCCTTGTGGAGTACCGTGAAGCCGTTACCATGGCAACTCCACTGCACTGTACAGTAGAGGCCATTTTATGGCACGACAGGCTGTATCTTAACAGAGCACACACCCCAAAGAGTTTTAGGGGTGTGTTACCCCCACAGTATTTTTTTCCAGAAAGTCATCTGTGTACCAAGTTTAGTTGAAATTGCTCGAGGCGTTCCAGAATTATGCTGGAACACACGAACACACACACACACACACACACACAGAGATAATAATACCGGTAGTCCTCAACTTACATCCACAGTTGAGGCCAAAAATCACTGTCGTTGAGGGAAATATTTGTCAAGTGAGTTTTGCCCCATTTTGCAACTTTTCCTGGCCCAGTTGTGGAGTGAATCACTGCGGTTGATAAGTCAGTCACATGGTGGTGAAGTGAATCTGATTTCCTCATTGACTTTTCCTGGATCAGAATGTCTCCAAAAAGGGGTGGGGTGTCACATCACA